GAGGGAAACTGATCAGTGGCAACGAAAGGTGTCAGCTTAGATGAATGGAAAACAGGGTAAGTGCGCAAGTGTGGAGGGATGCGAATCACATATGAAGGCCCATCCGGTTGATCCCCGACAAGGTCTAAGATCTCCCAGGGCCCAAAGTACTGTGGCATTAGTTTACGTGAAATGCCTAACTCCTGACCTAGTTCATATGACTTAACCCAGACTTTATCACCTACCTGAAAGTTAGAGGGCCGTCTGTGCTTATTCTCATATGCGATCGTTGCATCCTGAGATTTCCTGATATGTTCAACGGCTTGCTGCAACATCGGATCATATTTGACAGCAAACTCTATGCTGCCAGGTGCTGCAGTGAATTCTCTTTCTAGTAGCAGAAAGTCGAGTGCAGTTCTGGGTTTCCAACCAAGGTCCAGTTGGTTGGGAGTCGTACCAGTAGTAATGTGCACAACATTGTTATACAGGCTGGCGACGAGAGGTAACTTCTCGTCCCAGTCATCTTGACTTGGCTTATTATAATGCCGAAGCAGGTGTTGTACTACCCGATCCATCTGTTATGCCTGGCCATTTGACTCAGGGTGATTCCCTGACGTCATTTGGAGCTTGGTACCCATCTTTTCAGCAGTTGATTGCCATAGTTAACTGGTGAATCTCACATCTCTGTCACTAACAATAGATGTGGGTAAACCAAAGTCACGTACCCAGTTATCCATAAAGAGGTGGATGACGTGGTTGGTTTTAGCATTTTCTGGCATAGCGATTAGTCTGGCGTACTTAGAAAAGCGATCCACTATAACAAAGATGTGTCTTTTCCCGGACCTACTGGTCACAAGAGTATCCATGAAATCCATGGACACACTCTGACTCGGTCCGTCAAGAATCGGCAAGGGCTTAATCAACACAAGCGGAGCCCGAGTCTTGGGTTTGTCCCTTTGGCAAACCTGGCAGGTTTCAACGTATCTTTTAGCATCTTGCATCATAGAGGGCCACCAAAATCTTTGTACTAAGTTCGCTGATGTCTTTCTATAGCCAAAATGACCAGTTTCATCATGACATTCTGCTAAAAATAAAATACGTAAAGACTCACTATCAGGAACACACAACCTTTTATTCCCTGCCTTCTCAAGAAACAGCAAGTTGTCTACCATCGTAAATTCGTCCAAAGTTTTTTTGTCCTTTGCTTGGAATCTACGGATGATCTTAGACATAACTGGATCTTGCTGATAGGCTTCCACCAACGACCGAGTTAAGTCGTTAGATATGCCAAATTCAGTTACTAGTGCGGCCAGGTAATCTGCCCGACGTGACAATGCATCAACTACCTTATTATACTCTCCCTTGATTGGATCAAGTTGACAGGCATACATGTCTATCACTTGAATCCATCGCTTGAGTGCGTCAGAGAGGATCGGTTGTGTCTTAATCCAGCGCAAGGTCTTGTGGTCAGATCTCACATAGAAAAATCTGCCAAGGAGATAGTGTTTCCAATGTACCAGCGCTCTGTACAGGGCATAGAGCTCACACTCAAAAGTGGACCTGGCTAGTTTATGAGATGACATCTTTTTACTCATATACTCGATAGGTCTCAACTTTTTCCCCTCCTTTTGCGCAAGGACCACACCTATGCCACATTGGCTGGCGTCTATGGTCACGACAAAGAGCTGATCAGGATCCCGGAGCTTGAGGACTTCGTAGTGTGTTAGAGCATACTTCAATTTCTTGAAGGCTGCCTCACACTCTTCTGTCCATTCCTAAGGGCTGTCAAGTCGAGTTAGATCTGTTAATGATCTGTTAATGGGGAAGCTATAGTACTATAGTTCTTCACAAACGGACGATAATAGCCCGTCATCCCCAAAAACGATCTGACCTCAGTAACAGTTTGAGGTCTGGGACAGTCACGAATGCTGGCCACCTTTGCAACGTCTGGCCTCAACCCATTTGCTGAAATTTCATGACCCAAGTACAAGATCTTGGTGCGACCAAACTCGCATTTCTCCAAGTTAACCTTGTACTGGTGCTGTCTTAGGAGACCTAGCACTATTTTCAAGTGCTCAGCGTGCTCCTCTACAGTCCTAAAGATGAGGATATCGTTGACGTACACGACGATAAACTTATCTAAGTAATCATGAAAGATCTTGTTCATTGCGTGCTGGAATGTCCCAGGAGCTTGCATAGGCCGAAGGGCATCACCACAAACTGGTCTGAAATGCGGTGTTGGGCTGACCCTCAGGTCTAATAGCAATTTGATGGTATCCGGGCTTTAGATCTATCTTAATAAAGTACCGGCATCCCTGCACTCTATCCTGTAGGTCGTCGATGCGAGGTAGGGGCTCCGTGTTCTTAACAGTGATGGCATTGAGGCCCCTATAGTCGAAGCACATCCTCAAGGTACCTCCCTTCTTTGAGACAAATAAGACTGGCGCACGGTAAGGGGAGGTACTAGGCCGAATCCATCCCTTTTCTATGAGCTCCTTGAGCTGGCGGCGGAGCTCATCCAACTTCGCAGGAGACATCCTATGGATTTGTCCTCTAGGTACCTTACTACCTAGGACAACTTCTATCGCATGGACCACCTCCCTTTCCACCACGCCTGTGGGCTCCTMAAAAAGGTCTGAATATGTTGCGACGACTGATTCTATCTCWGAGGGTGTTTTAACRGCCTCCCCTTTCTCAGAGACAAAGACTAGATACATGCCCTCCTCGGGATTTTGCTTATAGTAGTTATAGAAAGATGATGCACACATGCACCCGTAGTTTTCTATCAGACTGCTAGCTTTAAACTTTTGCAATCTAACAGATCTACCATTGGGCAATTTGTGAATCAACACCTTTCTATCCCAGTCAAACTGCGGTTGCGCGACCTCGAGGTAGTACATACCTAGGAGCATGTCAAAGGGCAGTTCGTCGCTAACCAGGAAGGGGATTTTATGGCTCACTTCCCCTCCTCCATAGGAGAAGGTACAGACTACGTCCTTGACATAGTCTTTTACCAACATTTGGTGCTTGTTGGCCAGTGTAGAAGCTACAGTTCTGCTAAGCCGCTGCACTTGGTCCCCTAAGCGCAATCTATCCACACAAGCACGACTGATGAAGTTCCACGTAGAGCCTATGTCTGTGAAGGCGCCAACTTTGCGGCCACCTACATCAACCTCTACCGCGAAATGTTCACCCTTTGGACCTCTACTGATCATCGCCCAAGAATCTCTGGAGTCCTTCCCTGACCACTCAGATTGTAACTCTTCTAGGGACTCAGACACATCTCTCGAACAGAGCGTCGGTGGGTCTGAATGTGTCTGGGGGGCGATGTGTGGGCCACTGGCCTTGGCCAACGCTTGAAGTGGAGAAGGCAACGTAACCACTTCAGCGCGAGTAAGAGCGGCTAAAACTCCTACCGTCCCGAGGTGTTTCCCTGCGAAGTGCTCGCAGAATCACTGCCAGAGTTCGAAGATAAGCCTATCACAGTTGGCTATGCCACCTTCGTAGTGACCTTTTTGCCTCGGCATGTCCTGGATGTGTGGCCATAGTTGCCACAGTTCATGCAAGTACCCCTAGCAACTCGGTCACGCCAAACCTCGTAATCTAAACCAAGTTTTACCCAGGCGGGTGTTCCTTGGTCGCCCTGGCCCGTGGACCGTACTACCTTCTTCTTCCCGGTCTCCCTACCCTTCTCTCTGATGGGTGCCACGACTCCCCCATCCGAAGTCTCATTGGCCCCATCTTGCTCTGTCTCCTCCCCGAAGTCTGGGAACTCGTCAATCTCAGTTTGTTTTCGTCATCGCCATACAAAACCGGCAGGTCCTCCTCCTCTCCTCCTCCTCTCGTCTTCTTTTTCCTCTCCTTCTCCTCCTCCTCCTCCTCCTCCTCCTGCACCTCCTCTCGTCTTCTTCTCTCCTCTTCCTCCCCCTTCTCCCTTTGTCTTCTTCTCTCCTCCTCCTCCTCCTCCTCCTCCTCCTCCTCCTCCCTTTGTCTTCTTCTCTCCTCCTCATCCACCTCCTCCTCTTCCTTTCTCCTCCTCCTCCCTATTTTATTGGTTTTCTTTAGTAGGCGAAGTGCCACGTGTC